CCCTCCTCTGGACCCGTTCCAACAGGTCCGTGTCTTTCTTATGCTGAGGGTTCCAGAGCTGGACGCAGTACTCCAGGTGAGGTCTTACCAGAGCAGAGTAGAGGGGCAGAATCCCCTCCCTCGACCTGCTGGCCACGCTTCTTTTGATGCAGCCCAGGATACGATTGGCCTTCTGGGCTGCGAGTGCACACTGCTGGCTCATGTCCAGCTTTTCATCCACCAGTACCCCCGAGTCCTTCTCGGCAGGGCTGCTCTCCATCCCTTCATCCCCCAGCCTGTACTTGCACAACCCAGGACCTTGCACTTGGCCTTGTTAAACCTCATGAGGTTCACACAGGCCCACTTCTCGAGCTTGTTCAGGTCCCTCTGGACATAATAATGTAGTAATAATATGTATCTCTGATACATATTAATGTATCGAAGTACTTTTTCTTGAGAGAAAAATTGAGAAACTAATTTCCTGTAGTGCTCTGTTTCTTTATTAATTATTGCAAATCTTTCAGCTCCTGTAACTCAAAGAGTTAAATTGATATCATTGCCAACAAGCAAAAACTGGACTTTTGGTCCACAAGACATAGATGAGCTGATCTTCATGTTAAGCGACTGTCCTGGGGTCATGTGTAGGCCCTCCAGGGTCAGACAGATGTTTGCTTCTCGAGCTTGCAGAAAGTCTGTAAGTACAGCACCTGACGCTTGTTTTCAAATAAATACTGTATTTTCTGTTGTATTATAGGTGGCTGTATCTATATATATTGCAGGGGAAGTTTATTTACTATTGAGTGTCAACAGCTAATATCCTTCATTTTGTTCCTTGTGTTTTTGTCTAGTGCAACTCGGGAAAAATTTCTGGTAGTTTTTAATTTTGGTTCAAACTCATGCACTTACGAACATACTTAGCTGTATTTTGTCTTCTGTTCATCTTCTAGGTCTTTCTGCTTGTAATGCCTTGCCCAGTATTTATTTGCTCTAGTAGCTGAAATACTGCTCTTATCTGTGTCAGTTGTCAATACGGAGAAAGAAAATAATAATTGGGGTTTTTGTCTTTACTTGCAGGTGATGATTGGAACTGCACTGAATGTGCAGGAAATGAGAAAACTGATCACCCATATGGGCGAGATTGAGCACCCCTGGAACTGCCCCCATGGAAGGCCTACTATGAGACACATAGTCAGTTTAGACTTGATTTCACCAGAATAAGTCGATTTCTGGTTATTAACATTTTTTATTTTAATTCTTGGCAATATTTTGAGCTTTTATCGTGACTCTTTTATTTTGACTAAAAAAATTTTAGCCGGTCTTCAAATTTGAAGACAGAAAGACTTAAAGACATTCAGCAGGGTTTCATTGTTATTCCTGTCAAGTCAACAATATCGATATACTGGAATTCATGTGTAAATAACATTTCTTTTATTGCAATTTACTGTGTGTATTACTTATTTTTCCCATCAAGACTTTTAAAAAAATAAATATGTTTATATGAAAAGATCAAGAGTAGGTGAACCTCATTTATAGCAAATACACTGATTCTTAAAATTAAGTGGAATGTGAATTTAAGTTTCTAGTAATGCCATAAAACAAACATTAACTTTCTATGTTTATACATCCTGATTATGATAATTTTAAGGAAAATGTATACAAGTGTAAATACTTTTTTTGTTTTTTTTTACTTCTACTAATGCTGGGTTTCATTAGATAATTAAAGCTGGGTTTCATTAGATAATTACTTCAAGCATTAATATTGCATTTAATGATTAACTTACTGGCATCAGTGTTTAATGCTTGAATAGAATAATTCATCTGGCATATTTACTTTTAATTAGCGTTGTTCCCATCCATATTCCAAACATTTTTTTTTTTCAAGAACAGGGATTCCTTCTCTGAGAAAGAATGAAAAAAAGCTGTCTCACGAGGCACTGCTGATCAGGTCAGTCCAAATTCTATCTTAGTAGAATCAACATAGTTAGAAAATTGTCTTTTTGACTCACAAATCCATTAAAACAAATAGCTAAGTTCTTCCATTTCTGTAGGACCAAGATTTGACCTAAGAAATCTTTGTTTTTGTTGATGGCTTTTCCATAGCACCTCCATTTACTGCTCATGGAGTGCTGCAGCTGTGCTGCTGCTGTTACTCTGGCGCATAAAGCAGCGCATGCCCCTTGTCTCAGCTGTGTGGCTGATGTGGTGGGCTTCAACAGAAGCCGTATATACACTGCCTGTAACTGTCACGTGTACAGGTGTAAATGGGCCAAGTACCATGAATAAATTGTCTGTATTCTGTGTGGAACATGTGCAACGTCTGCTAACTGCTATTTTCCGTTTCTGTATTAAAATGAACCCAGAAGAGGCAGTTTCCCTCTGGTCCTGTGTAATGCAGAATTAATCTCCTGACCTAAAGCAAGCAGAAT